GTGTGTTATAGAATGAGCTGCCTTACGCAAGGCAATGTTGTGATAATTACAGCTGAGTGATGCCATTAGTAGGCATGTAATAGAATAATATGTTCTGTATGAACAAGCAATTGAGTAATCGAGTCTTTCTCATGTAATATAATTGGATGTTTTTGAGAAAATAAGTTAAAGTTAGCCAGTCTGCCTCCTACTCTCAAGATGTTGTGTTTATCCATAAATGGATGCAAAGGTATTATGGAACTGCCATTGGGCAGATCACAATTCAACAATAAAAGATTCATCTCTAAGATAAAATAATTTCTTTGAGAATAATGGATCCAATACCTCTTTGGAATACGAATTTCGGTAACTAAAGGATATGGAGGCTTGATTATGTTTGTTATAAAATGCTAAACCCAAGATGTGATACATAACAATTTATAAAAGAATAAATATTTCCTAACAGGTATAATAGGAGAAACTAGTTTAACACCAGTAAAGTGTGATGTGACTCTCTCTTCTTCTAAGGTTTCAATACTTGGAATGGAATTATAAGGTCATTCACTCTCTGACTTTGTCAACCAGGGGGGTCCATTCCATTACAGATCATGTGAGACAAGCTCCCTGGGAAATAGTCCCCTAGAAGGAGCATCAGCTGGGTTATTGGTACCTTGTACATGAGCCCATCGATCTGCTGGTATGCTGTCAATAATTAAAGATACTCTGTTACCAACAAATACCTTAAATCTGCGTGAACTACCTTGTAACCAGTTTTGGACTATATGGCTATCAGTCCAAGCAAATATGCTAGAGAGTGTCAAGTTGAAAATACCTTTGAGGTAGTGCAGTAGCTGTGAGAGAAGCTGTGCTCCACACAACTCCAGATGTGGGATAGAAATCCTCTTTATGGGAGATACACGAGACTTAGCAATCACTAATGAAATACCTATATTACCATCTGTGTCTTGAGAACAGACATACACAACTGCGGCATATGCATCTTCAGATGTGTCGCTGAAACCATGTAACTGAAAAGACTCCAACTGAGAAATGTCTGAGAAATAGAACCTCTGAATATGAAAAGAAGACAGACATGAAAACTCAGACTCCCACACTACCCACCTTCAGCAATAGATGGAGGAGTTAGATCATCCCAGTGTATTCCTGATTCTCATAGACGTTGCAAAAGTATTTTGATTTTAACAATAGCAGGTGAGAACCACCCCAAAACATTATATACTTTAGCTATATTGGAGACTAAAGTACGCTTAGTAAGCTTAGAGCTACAAAAGGAACCAGAAACAGTAACTCTGAAACTGTCAGTTTTGATGTTCCATTCAAGACATAGAGTCTTTGTGTATTCCAACATTGAATCAGAAATAGAATGCACCTCCTGTACATCTCTAAAATGATGCTCGATAGATTCCAGAACTAGCTTACTGGTACTATTCCATTTATGGAGTAGAAAACCTTCACGGGAAAATAGCTCCTGCATTTCCTTTCTTAATTCGATTGCTTCTTCAACACTACCTGCTCCCAACAGTCCATCATTGACATAGAAAGATTCACTAACCATGTTTGCTGCTAAAGGAAGTTATGCATAAAATCTATAGCAGTCTGCTTAATACTCATGTTGGCAGCAAAACATGAGGCTGAAACACCAAAGTTGAATCTAGTCATACGTTAATCTCTTATCATATCATTTGGACTGGACTGCCATACATAACGGTGGGAATTTTTGCCTTCATTCTCAAGCTCAATAGCTCTGTACATTTTGCTAACATCAGTGCTCAAAGGGATACGAAAACATCTGAATCTACTTAACACGTCCAATAAAGGTGGATGTACAGTAGGCCCAACCAATAGGGTATCATTAAGAGAAACTCCTGACATTGATTTAGCTGAAGCATCAAAAACTGCTCTAATTTTAGTAGTGGTACAAGAGTCTTTATATACCACACTCATAGGAAGGTAAAATACTTTATCTGTAGGCTTATCAAAATCTTTAATAGGAACTTCCTCAGCATGTCCCAACTTCAAATACTCAAGCATTACACTCTCTACTTCACTGAACTTCCCTTTACTGTTTAAGTTACGTTCAAGAGCTAAAAATCTCCTGATGGCCTGAGATTTCAATTCTCCTATGCTAGCAATGTTCAGTTTCCTGGGAAGTGGGACTACAAATCTAGCCAGTGGTGTTCTGTAATGCTTGTCTTGGAAATGCTGTATTACAGCATGCCCTTCCATTGAGCAGGCTAGCTTATCACTGGGAGGTTCTTTAATCTCCCAAAATCTGCAAATAGCGTCATTTAGACATGATACGGAATTGTGACTAGTATTACAAGTACTAGAATTAATCAACCCACCTAATACGCAACCAAAGACAGTTTCAAATGCAGTTGGTGAACCAGGTGGACCCGCAAGTTGTCCCTTTAGTAGGCAACCAATAAAAACATCAATGCCTAGTAGGGCATCTATATGCCCTGGCTCATCAGAGGCAGGGTCAAAGAGGGATATATCAGACAAATGGTCCCAATTTAGACCAAAAGGTATAGGTTTGACTGGCAAATCAGCTGTCACCTTAGGTACTATTGCAGCAGTAACACCAATTTTCCAGTTAGGGTTTCCAACCGGAGAAGCAGTGAACTGTGATATAGCCGCATAGCTAGATAAACCTTCTATACCTGATACTGATATTGACTAAAAAGAGCGAGGAAGATGCAAAGCCTGAGCAATACGCTCAGTTACAAATGATGCAGATGAACTAATAGGCAGCGGGCTTCTACACAAAACCCAGCAGGACCAGTAAGTATGACCTTACATGTCGTCAATAAACAATTAGTGTCAAGCTCTACTGTGCTATTATGAGAAGTGACCGGTGGGTGAGTCTGAGACCTACTTCCATCATCAAAATGCAATAGTGTATGATGTAATGCCTGGCATCTTCTACACCTAGGAGCTGATTTACAGCCTTTTGAATGATGCCCACTAGTCAAACAGTTCATACAGATATTTTTACTGTTAAGCAGATAAATCTTTCACTCATGCGACAACTCTATAAAAGTCTGACAAATGTATAACGGATGTCTTTCTGCTTGACATGCTATTCAAGCAGAAGTGCTGGAAGTAAAAGATGGAGTATGCCCTGGCAACTTCTTATTATCTTTAGTATTCCCGTTGAAAAAAGTAGCACCTATAGACTTGGAAGCCTGAGCTCTATAATCAATAAATTCCAATATTTTACTGTAATGAGGCACAATGGTTTCAGATTGCATATGTCTCTGCAACTCAAACATAGTGGCAGAGTCTAATTTAAGCTCTATTATGGAAGTGATAAAAGAAGCTGAAGGCTCATGACCCATTGCCTTTAAGGCTATGATGTGTTGTTGCACAGTATCATGCAACTTGCGTAGCTCTTTGCCACTTCCCTGTTTCAGTGGAGGGGACTCAATTATATTCTTAACATGGGTCTGGTGAGCTAATCTAGGCCGATCAAAACGTCCCTTTAAACAATCAATAGCTTCCACATAATGCTCACCTGATCTTGTCAGTCCCTCTATGACTGTCTTAGCTCAGCCATTATTAAGGGCATGCTGGAGTTAAACGAGTTTCTCAGTTTCTGTAATGTTAGTACGATCGTGGACAGTCACACGAAACTGTTCCCAGAACTTAGTCCAATTGATGATGTTGCTGTCGAAAACAGGAACATCTAGTTTTGGTAGTTTGACACCACTACTTGCAACAGGTGCAGTAGGTGTGTGTTCCGTATCATGTCAAGCAGGATGTCTGCGAATGATGTGGGAGCAATCAAACAGCTGCTGTTTCAGTTCAGCGTGTAAATCTAACAAAGCGTCATCTTCAAGAACATAACTTGAAAGTAATAAATTGTCTCGTAAAGGAACAAATTGTGATTTTGTAATCAGCCAATTGAGCTTCATACTGAGCAATTAGTGCCAAATCATCTAATTTATCTAGAAGGCCTGTAATGGTAGTTTTAGCAGCATTTATACACTATTCTAAGTGATGCAATTTTTAAAGTAATATAGTCTTTCTGCCAAACCAGCTGAAGGAGCTGGAGAGGGAGACATGGCGCGAGTCAGTTGATGAAGCTTGAGGAACAATGCAGATACTTTATCCTCATGGTCATCAAAAACATCTTGTTGAGACACCAATTCATCTTCATTGTCAGTGAGGTCCATTATCTGAAGATGAATGAACTTAAACTCAGCATCAACAGTACTAAGCTTGGACATCATCTGTTTAGCATGAACCGGAGTATCCGGTTGATCTTTCCCATTCTCCAAATCTCTGAGACGAGTAGTAAGACATGTGACAGCAGAGTGGGCAACTCCTCTTCTTCTCTTAAGAGCGTTAATGTCAGTCGGTTGTTAAGCAATAGACTGTTCCGTTACCATCGTAGTAGACTGGACACGTGGCCGACTGAGACAAACTAATGAGCTAGTCTGGCTTGACAAATGAGTAAAACAGTGACTTCTCTGAGCAGAGGCCAAAATAAAGACAAATTAAGGACAGATCCGGCTCGGTGGATCAAAAATGTTCGAGCCAATACTCAGATGGAGGGAGAAGAAACATTAACGGTTGACAATTAGAAAAGAAAACAATTAATTTTTTCAAAATGTCCACCGTTAACGTTTCTTCTCCCTCCATCTGAGCATTGGCTTGAACAAGTGTGAACAAGCTAATCCTGCTTTAATCCTGAATTTTGTCTTAATTCTGGATCCAAAGTAGACAAGTGTAGAAAGGCCTTAAAAGTACTATGTAGAGTAGAATTTGTGTCACGAAAAAAAAATTTTAATTTTGTATTTTTGTTGGTTGTTCGAAATCCTAGTTGTCCTTGCTTCTGTTATTCATTCTTCATCTTGTTTTTTTAATTTTTATGCTGTAAACTAGCCTTTAGTCAAATTCTACATTGTTGTAATCTTATTTGCTTAAGTATACTCAAGTAATTATTTTATGTAAAATATATAAATTCCTGATTTGTCTTAATACTCTAATTTTAGGTTGTTGACTTTCCTGCTGATCATCCATCTTGTTCAAAGCAACATGCTGTAATTCAGTATAGGCTTGTGGATTATACTAAGGAAGATGGCCGTAAGGGAAAAAAAGTGAAGTTAGTAAATTAAAATTTTAGCAAGGTTAATGACCTTTGTTATTGTTAAAAACACTAGTAAAGAAAGGCAATGAAACTTTAATTGGTGGAAAATTAAGACCTCTGCAAATGCTGAAATAATTACAAAAGTTATTAATGGTTATGAAATATTAGCTATATTGATACTTAATGAGAAAATTAAGTATATAAATATGCAGATATGTGTATACTTGCTTACTGTACAGCCAGAAAATTTGGTGGTCTAAAACTTTGTGGTTTTGCATCAATATGCCAAAATGTATTATTCGTAATTTGGCGGTTTACTATCTTGCGTTTTCTTTAAGCACTCTCAGCTCTTCTTGAAGCTGCCCCTTCTATAGGAGGAAGGCAACTATACGACGGCAGTCATTGGTTGTGGCGGCGATTATTAATTATCCTTAAATTTAATTATTAATTTTACCATAAATATTCTTTTTAAACAAAATTAATTAATAATTTAACCTTCATCATGTCAATTGCTACTTCCAGTTCCAGGTCTGGAAAAAGATCACTCTCATGTTCTACCTCAGGCTGTAGGTGTTTAGATGTTCCCCAGTGTCTTTGCATTATGAGCTATTTCTCCTTCCCAGGGAGTTTGCACAAGTTGCATCATAGTTTTTGCCTTATGGGGTCAAATAGGAGCTCATGTTAATGAGAAAAGGGCATTTGGAAAGGGTCTACAAGTATCATGTATCTATACCTTTCCTAGAAAGAAGAAACTAATCAATTGGATGAAGCGACTACTCAACTCAGACTCAACTGTGATTAGACTGTTATTTTACTAATTAATTAATTACTAGTTATTAATAATAATAACAATGAATAGCATTATGCGGCGTATATTTAAAGGTGGTGGTAATTTCTTTGACTACCCTGGCCCTGGGAAGCGTTTATTTGAGGGAGGTGGCTACTCGGGGGCGGCTTTTACTCATGGAAATACGGTAGCTGCCATCTGCGAAGGAGAGTGATACAAGTATTAATAGCCATTAGTTGGTGTCCCATTAGAAAATGACCCAAAGTTAACATCTCGATGCCCTCATCATCGCTAAGAACACTGGTCAGGGGGCGGCGTACTCGCTTCTTCATATGTGAGTTAAAGTCTGTAATCACCCATAAAGTTTGTCCCACGGTCACTGCAAATCTGGTTTGGATAGCCACGATGGGCAGCAAAGCGGTGGAGACATGCTATAAATGCCTCACTGGTCATGTCTGACACCAGTTCTAAATGAACTGCCTTGACACAGCGATACAAGTACAGAAATGTATGTCTTTAATATAGTGGGTAGGACCAGCATAGTCTACACCCACATTTTGAAATACTATTCCAGGACTAACTCTCTCCAAAGGGAGTTGTCCCATTAATTGACATTCTGGCTTAGCAGTCTGTCTTCTACAAGTGACACACTGCCATGTGATAGATCTAGCTGCTTTACACAGCCAAATATATGATAGTCATGGCTCAGTGATGCTACCAGTAGAGTAGGACCTGCATGTAACATTAAGATATGCTCAGAAAGTATTATTTTATGAACCAATACATGTTTATGATGCAATATAGTAGGATTTGTTTGACGAAAAGACAATTTGTCATTAAATAGTTGACCTCTGGCTCTTAGAATATTTTCATTATCGAGAAATTGATTTAAAGATAACTAGACGAATGTGGAACATTAAGGGGGCGAGCCTGAGCAAGTAAAGCAATTTGCATACAATGTATATCGACAAACTAACGATATTCATCATGTCATTGTGGTGCATGATGAAAATGATTGTGCACATATAAGCAGGCTCAGAACTTGTAGTTCTTTATGGTCTACCACTATGATCTGTAGTGATGTCACAGAACTCATAAATCTTCATGATCTTATTTTGTAAATATATATTGCATGCTGTGTTATTAAAGATCAGTGTTTGGGTGCCAACACGAGGTAAAGTGTTTTCTCTCTCTGGGTGCAGCCTTGCCCGTCACTAACCAGTACAAACACATGGCATTTCACATCCCAAATTGCTATATTGGTGACCTGGTCGGCCTTGACGACTCACTGTTCAGGGTTCAGCAGCAGCAGCAGTAATCATGGAACGTGTGTGGGCCTCGATCTCACTGCTAGTCCACACACTCCTCAACTTTCTCGTACTTTGCTGGCCTCTCTAGCTCGTACGCTCTCTCTGGTCTCTCTGGTGACTCACTGTCATATGACTATAAAGGCAGCTCTCTTTCTCTAAGTTTCTCTGGCCATGACGACTCACTGTCGGTCTATACCCACCCGTACCCACTACTCGCTCTTTGCCTCTGTATTTCTAACCCATGGACCCACTGATGATCGACTCTCACAAGTCGTGAAACACTCCGCAGCATGTTTCTCACTACCCCCAGCTGTCACTCACTGTGTGCTGTTCATTGTTCTTTTGTCATTCTTTTGCTCGACCATGTTTGGCCTTTGCTTGCCTTATCTAATCGACCTTTCTCACTTGGATCTCAAGATAAACAAGGCAGTCACTACACTAACCACAGCACCTCCTGTATCATTTAGGCTTGTTCAGCACCTTTACTTTCTCATTCTCCCACTGCTCTTTCTTCCTTAGACACTACTTGTTTGGAGACCGACATACTTGTTGGGTTACCAACACTACTTGTTTGGAGACCGATGGTACTTGCTCGGATACCAACATTACTCATGCAGGTTGACATGTCAGATTCCCTCAACAACTTAACCTATAGACTACTATTCATGGTCTAGTCATTCTTTATTGGTTTTGTATTGACTGTTCGTCTGGCGGGGGAGTACTGTAGTGAACTGACTCATCATGACATCACATCACAACTCGTAAATATTCATAAACTATCTTTGTATGTAAGGCATGCTGTCTAATTATTATAATCAGTGTTTGGGTGTTGACACGAGTCATTGTTAGCTTTCTCTTTAGTGCAGCAATCCTGCCTACCTGTCTGCCTTGCACATACTCATAGCACTCATTTTTGATTTGCTATGTTAATATAGCAATTTGAGATGTGGAATGCTATGTGTGAGTGCTGGCTAGTGACAGGCAAGGCTGGTTGCTGTGCCCAGAGAGAGAAATTGCTTTACCTTGTGTTGACACCCAAACACTGATCTTTAATAACAAAGCATTCAATATATATATATATATATATACAAAATAAGATCATGAATATTTATGAGTTCTGTGACGTCACTACAGTACTCTCCTTCCAGAGAACAAGTGAACGAATGATCAAACATTGAGTGGATCAGGAAAATGAACACATCGACCAGAACGAGTAACGTTGGTATCCGAGCGAGTCTCCGAACAATTAGTGTTGGTATCCGAGCAAGTACTGTCAGTCTTCGAATGTGTAGTGTTGGTCTTACAATGAGGAGCAGTCAAAAGAGTAGAGGAGGGAGAAGTAGAATGAGAAACAGGAGTATAATCGTCAGTAAAATGAAGTGACTGAGTATGAGAGATAACCTGTAAGCAATGAACTGAAGCAGTGTAAAACTGACAGGAGAGTGATGAGAAACTGTAATAAGAGCAGTGAGAGAATATGAGAAAGGGTTGCAATGCTATGTAATTTGTGGTAAAAAGTGCTGCCATAGGAACTGCCTTGTTAACCACAAGGTCAAAAGGTGACAGTGAGATTGATGAACACATGGAGAGTTTCAAAGATGATAAACATAGTTGAGAAGCGAGAATGAGACCAAAAGAAGGGAGAAATAGTAACAAGAGAGTGATAACACAGTTGAGAGCAAAAATACGAGTAGCATACATACTGAGAGTGTTTCATGGCCTATAGGAGTTTATCATCAGTGGGTCCGTGGGCGAGAGGCAAGCAGTAGGAATGAGTAAATGTAGGCCGACAGTGGGTCGTTGTGGCCAGAGCTAAGAGCGTAAGAGTAATAAAGCTCCTGGGTTACTCGTCTGACAGTGAGTCGTCAGAAGGAGAGAGAAGGCCAGCGTCATCAAAAGTGGAAGCATGTGGGCTAGAAGAAGGTAACTCCCAGTAGTTGCCTGTCTGTATACCCCGAGCAGTGAGTCGCCAGGGCCGTCCGGGTCACCAATATAGCAAATCAAAAATGAGTGCTATGAGTATGTGCAAGGCAGACAAGTAGGCAGGATTGCTGTGCTAGAGAGAGAGCTAACAATGCCTCGTGTTGACACCTAAATGCTGATTATAATTATTACATAGCATGCATTATATACAAGATAGCTGATAAATATTTATGAGTTCTGATGTGATGTCATGATGAGTCAGCTCACTACAGATTTCAGCAGCAATTAAAGGTACCTTGCTTATAGCATTAAAAATAGCTAAAACCAGTCATTGCACAAATAATATAGCTAGATATAGGGTATGCAATCAATGATCAAAGACACTCGGTTGCCAACAAAAGTGTTATAATGACGGGGACTTCCTAGTAACCAATTAGCTACTATGGTACTATCAATCCTGGCAAGTATTTGAGTAAGAAAAAATGAAAAATATTCTTTAAATAAAACAATAATTGAGAGAGAAGTAGAACACCACACAACTCTAGTCAATGTATGGATATCCTCTTGATAGGTGCTACACGTGATTTTGCCATCACTAATGATATATATTAATATTACCATCTCTCTCAATAGAATGAAGATATACTACTGCTGCATATGCATCTTCAGAGGCATCGCTAAAACCATGCAGTTTTAAGCTCTCCAGATGACTAGAGGATGCATTTCAAAAGTAATGTCTTGGAATATGAAAATGCTGGAGCTCAGATTCTCACCTACACCACACTTTACTTATTGATCGAGCAACCAAATCATCCCAATCTAGGTTAGCCTCTAGAGTTGTTGCAAAAGTATCTTTATTTTGATGGCAGCAGGTGAAAACCGGCCCAATTGCATCAAACACCTTCGCTATGTTAGAAACTAAAATATGTTTAGTGAGATCAAAGTTAGATATTTTTTTGCTACTAATAATTCGAAATGAGTCTAGTTTAACATTC